CATATTTTTTTTTGGGCCTCAAAATAACTCAAGAAAAAGAAGAACAAACAATCAGCTTTATGAAAAAAGCTATCTCACTTGGATAAAGTTGGGCCAACGTCTTATGACTCAATTTGAATAGCCCAAAACCAACAAATTCAGCAAAAAACATAAAAGCTCCAGCAGGCTGGGCCTGGGACTCAGCTCAGAGGGAAAGGAATTCGATTAGCCCTATAAGAGCTATCTGACGTTGGGCCTTAAACGGATTTAGGCCCAGCTCTTATTTTGGACATAGGTTGTCACGTTTGGGCTCTGAGATGAGCCTATATCTAGTGCAGATCTTTATTTGGATCTCAGATTACTGATTTTAATTCACAATAGGCTTAGTTATTAGTGATCTAACAAATGGTTTTGAATTCAGTATAATTCAACATGTAACCTCGATTCTAACCATCATATGCATATTGTTCAGCTTATTCAACAATTGCTGAAGCTTGTAAGCTTACATATTTGTTTCTAAGCTACTGCCTTTGAGAGCAAATAAGCACATTTGAGCTCTTTTGGATTTCTATTTGTGCTACAGACAACAGGTGAATAAACTAGAGTGCCAACACATTTAAACCACCAAATGCTCGATTTCACAGTAATAGGACAACACATGCTATTTTTGGATCCCTCTTCAACATATTATTCTAATCTAGTTCTCAAATTAACATGATAATGAATTCTGAATCAAACATACTAAAACTGATGTTTCTGCTAACTTCTTATGATAATTTGAATATCTAATTAGTAGTCATAGATGCAAATGATTTCAAAATTAGTTTCAAGCTCATAACAGTGTCTCCTAAAAAAGACGTTCTAACACAAGAGATTAGGCTATGCCATACTAAAGCTAATACTAAACAAACAATCATCAATCCAATAGTCTCAACAGTCTGGTTTTAATTACAAACGAGAACCTATTGAAATCGTGGTACTATATAGAATACAAGTAGGAAAATCAAACAGAGAATCCATCTATACTTCATTTCATGTTCCTCAAACTTGGAAGTTTACATGATGTGTACCTGGAATTAAGACAAAATAAAGAAGAAAATGAGATCAGCAGTAGCAGTGATCAGTTAGCAGCTTGTGATTTGTTGTAAATCCAAAAATAGAGTCAACAAAACCCAGGAAGTATTTTAACCCCAAATCAACCAGTAAACTGATCAAAGCAACTTGAATAAACCCAAAGAACTTGAAATTGAACCCAGGAACACTAGGGACTCGGATTAACAGCTAAACTTGAAATCAACCTAAGAGAAACTTCGATATAACAGTATTTTTGGGGGCTTTTCTCTTGCCTTCGCTTTTTGTTTTTGGTTTTTTGAAGAAACTATGGTCTAAGAGGAAATTTCGAACTGTAGGAGTTCAGATTTTTGTATTTGAACTTGAAATTCAAATTTTAGATGCTAAAACTTGCGGAAAACTTTTTGGGAATTTTTTCAGATGTTCAGACTTCTAAAAGAAGGTAAGGGGGGGGGGTGCCTTTTATATGCAGAAAATCAAGGGGAAGCTTCTAAATTTCATTACCCATTTTTCCACTCTTTTTATTTTCAGTTTTTATACATTAGTCCCTAAACTTTTGGCTTGTTGCCCAAGTTACTGCATTTAATTCCTGAATTTCAAATTAGAACCCTATCTAGAAGCTTCTAGGGAATTCTATTTTCAGTTACTACAAGATTCTCTACTTTGAAACACCTAAAATACCCTTTTATTTATTCTGAAATTACTAACCTATACTTACTAACCCCCAGCCCTGTTAATTGGGTCAAAAGATGACCATACTTAATTAATTAAAGGCTGGAAGCCATTCAGCTATAACCAAATAAGACCTAATTTACCAAAAATTCAAAATCCCTAAAATTGACTACCAAATCTATTTAATTATGGCTACTGCCGTTACTACTATGAACTAGACCAAATTAAGAACCAAAATTAATAAAAGTAATACATCATCCTATTTATTACCAGTTAAACGAAAAATACAAATCAAACACAAAATCAAAAAGAACAAAATCATGCTTTCAATTGTCAGAGAATTAGGATTTGAAGGAACGATGAAAACAAACAAATATGAACAAAGAAAAATAATCAACAGATTGACAAAAAAAAAAAATTAAAACCTAAATCAGTTAAGCATGAAGAGGGATTGAACATGAAGGGGAGGCTAATTTTAATTAAGGGAAAATCCACTATAGAAAGAAAGCAAATAACGAAATAAGGGAAAATTAAGAACTCACTTATTCAGGCTTCAATCGATTGACTTCAAATCTGGCCTTCAAATAATGTTGTTTGCCTATTCTTTGCCAAAATAGGTAAACAACATTATTAGAAGACCATTTGATTACTGATAAAATCCCCAGGCGACTGAAATTTTGACAACCTCTAAGTCAGAAGCCCTAGATCTAGGATTCGAGCAATTAGGGCTGGATTTGGACGAAATTAGTTTAGGCTTTGGGAAGAAGAGGGTGAGGAGACCCTGGGGTGTGATTTTGGGGTCGTTTGGGGGCGGCGCCGCCGTGCACGGCGGAGGCGGCGCTAGGGTTTGGGTTATTCGACGAATTTGACGGGGATTTGGAGGAAACTAAGCCCGGATCTGAAAAGGGGAGGTGGAGAAGGGGCTATGGTGTAATTTTGGGAGTGATTGGTTAATCGCCGCCGGCGGAGGCGATTTCCGGCCGGCGGCGGATGGCGGAGGGATGGTGGTAGACGGTGGTGGATGGTGGTTATGAGAGAGACGAAGGTAGGGGGGTTCTGGGGGGGGGGGGGTGACGTTTGGACAATTATATATTAATCAAGGTGGGATTCTCAACCGTTGGATCACAAAACCTAGACGGTCGAGATCGATCCGAGCCAAAACGTCGTCGTTTGGCTTTGAGGGGAGCTGGACCGGATCAAGGTGATTTTGGACTTGGACTTGGCGTGGGTTGAAACGGGTACAGGGTTTGTGTGGGCTGGTTTTGGGTGTTTTCTTTCATTTTCTTTTCATTTTTTATTTTTATATTTTTTTTGGTTTTTGTTAAAAGCAAAATTAAAAATAACAAAGACCTGAATTAAACTAAAATTAAACTAATTAATTTTCCTAAAATTAACTAAATCCCAATTTAAAAAGAAAACTAAACAAAAAATGTAAAATGACTATTTTTTGTTATTTTCTCTTGTTTTTGATAATATTAATTAACTAATAAAACTAATCAATATAAAAATTAAATCTAAATGCAAAGGTGCTATATTTGTATTTTTCATGAATTATATCAATTAAAAATGCACAAAAATGCACATAATCACAAAATCATGCAATTCCTTAAAATTCAAATAATAACAGAAAAATCCTAATTTTAATGAATTCTATAGGAGTAATTTAAGCGAGGCAAAAATCACGTGCTCACACTTATTTGTTAAAGAACTAATTCATAAGTATAAGTTCGGCCGGGACCCACCGTTGTGGACCGAGAAGGGTACCTAACACTTTCCCCTCAAGGTTATTTCGAGCCCTTAACCTAAATCTCTAGTAATGCAAACTAGTCTAACGCACCATAATCCGTTAGGTGGCGACTCTTCAAATACCCAAATCCCAAAAAGGAAACGAGTCGATACCCCCATGGAATGTCGAAACCCGGACTTTCTCGGCGAGGAGGAAAAAAGGGGTCGCGACAAGCCCGAAACTCCAAAAATTCAACTTTCGCCATTTCAAGCCTAAATAAGCTACGGACCTCCAAAACACAATCCGGACACGCCCCTAAGCCCGAAATCACCCAACGGAGCATACGGAATCGACGAAATTCTATTCCGGGGCCGTCTTCACACTGCTCCGACTACGGTCCAAATTCTAAGACTTAAACTCTCATTTAGGGACTAAGCTCTCCGAAACTCAAGATGAACCATCCCGGCAAATCATAATAGTAGAAATAGACACGTGGGAAGCAGTTAATAGAGAATCGGGGAGTTAATTCTCAAAACGACCGACCGGGTCGTTACATAGACCTTCTTGTTCTTGGTGAAAACCTATGGTTGTCATTAAAGTAGAGCAAACTCCTTGTGGTAACCATTCTAACCTCTATCAGTTTGAAAAATCAAATAGGTATCTTCTTATTTCACTTGGGGTTCCTTATTGCTTGTGAATGATTTTTCTTTAATTCTTAGTCCATTGCTTGAATCTGCAAAGGATAAATGTTTTATATCGCTTTGCGGTAGTATTCAACAATCTATCCTAGCTTCTTTCTTTCTTCTTCACCAAGTTGTTGGGTTTCCAAGTGGTTTGGTTGTTCACATTCAGTTTACTTGTCTCTAACTAATGTGGAATACGTACAATCTCCACTCCATTTTTCTTCCACAAATACCTCCATCCAACAAACTGTGGTATTAATGAATCCATAACTCCCAGTTAATGCGGATTGATATTGGTCTTGTTACATAATTAATCTTCCGTTCATGTTAATTTTAAGGCAGAATAGCCTAATAGACACCTCTACTTGTTCGGTTTTGACATTCCGATGGCCCTACTCTATGAAGTTTCAAGCAGACACCTGAACTCAATCAAAACATGAATTTTAAACGCCTCTGGCCGTTAACCAAGCTTATGACCGTTAACCAAGCTTATGTGGCGTTGATCTGGTTGAGTTGGACAAAAATTACTAAAATTTAGAAATGTCATGGTTCTAATGTATTGTTCATTCATACCATATAAATAAAATATTTTTTGAGAAAGTAATTATTATTTTTTTTTTTTTTGTTGAGAAAGTTCATACCACATAAATCATATATGTCCATTTATTGGTTTAGATCCATGCTTTTAAAGCAACTGTTAAAGAGGTAAAAATGAGTGGGGTTGTAACCTTGCAACAAGAATAGCATGGGATCTTTTGCTGCTGCTTTAAGTGAGGGCCGAAGTTAGCTGCATTTGCTAAGCAAATAGGAAAAACAATGGAAACAGAAATGGAGAAAAGAAAGGCAAAAAGGCATAGCGCCTCTCATTGTGTCTTAAATGGAGATACAATAACTAAATCTTAGTCAAATGCTTGACAAATTAACAAAACCATGAAGCACAAGGTTTACAAATGTCAACTGAAGAAAATTGAACACCTTGTATGTGATATATCCCTGAAGAAATAGTCTAAGTTCGCGTAAGCTTGTCCTGACACTACTATTATACAAAAAATCATTTCAAGGACTAGAAAGTATGACATGAAAAAGAATGGTTAACTTCACATTATAGATAAGACACAGAGTTAAACTCTAAGGTAAAGGTAGCTCGGTGCACTAAGCTACCACCATGCGCAAGATCCGGAAAAGGACCAGACCACATTGGGTCTTATGTACACAACGTTTCCTTGCATTTTTGAAAGAGGCGGTTTCCGCAACTTAAACCCATAACTCCTGGTCATACGGCGACATTAAAGTTTCAGTAAGATACAATAAAAGTTCTTTACATGTTAATCAGTGGTAAAGGCTCTTATGAAACTAACCTGCAATCCAGTTCCTTTAAAATGGATAGATTAGTAAACAACTCGCGCAAAATGTTATAGGATCAAACTCAGACAAGATAGAAGAACTTCCCAATGGGAAATCACACATCCTTTTGTCATTCATCAGAGAGAAAATCAGACCCTTATATCATATAACCAATGCCAAAGCGGAAAAAGTATTTTATTTTGTCTTCTGGAACAAACTTGGTGGTAACTGCCAAAGGGAATCAGTTATCAAGATCTGTTGAATTCGAAAAGCTTCAAATGGCAAGGTTGAATTTGCATATATAGCTCAGAGCAGTTGAAACTTGTATATACGAGGAAGGTGTTTCAGTAAACTATGCCCCAATTCCAGGAATGAATTTTGGCAACACCGTCTGTGGCTTTTTAGAATATAAACTGAAAAAAGAAAAGCACAAAATTATTGAACTACTACTTACAATTTTAGAAAGATCTCAGCACCTTAAGTGCCAAAAGTAAACCAAAACTGTTAAGGAGCTACAGTTTTTTCGTGCAATTCATACAGATCGGGTATCTGATCCTTGTAGGGCGGCACGAAATAGTCTATGAACTTTGACTCTGTTAAGGTCAGAACATAATAGAGACTCACCTTTCTCCTCTCAAGCTTCTTTTCATCCAAAATTTTCAAAACTTGCATCCGAGGTATCACCCTTTTCTCCAGACTATAGGCCAAAAATGCAGGACGAGAAGCCAAGTAAGAAGGTTCAAAACTGAGCTCCTTCATGTAAAGATTCAATGCTTTCTCAATTCTAACCTCTGAGAGAGCAATACAAAGCGGTAGCTTCCTGAATAACTCGAGTATTTCATCATCAGACCATCCAAAACTCTTGAACATCGCAATCTTCCTATCCAATGTAGACTTTTTTTGCGCGGATAAAACATGAAATGCATAAAGAAAACTAGGGGAGCCAAGCGGAACTCGAAAATCCTTCTCCACTCTATGCAAGAAATACTTAACACGATCAGGATTTTGTGCAACACGAGAAGGATTTTGGAGCACAAATTTTTTAATTCTCGCATCAGAAATACCACAGTTTTTCAACAACAATACATTAGTATCCATAATATGACGGGCACCAAAAGAAAGCAACCTAGGACTTCTCTTTATAGCCGTAACTACATTTTCGTCAGTGACCAAAGTTCTCCTAAGACAATCAATGGTAGGTCTCATATGAGTATCTAAACCTATTATCATAATTTTTGTATTTTTAGCAATTACATTCACCAGGTCCGACCCGGATAGCCCAAGGTCCACAAGGCACTGGAATTTGGGTTTTAGGGTTTTAGAAACATCAGAGAATAGCAATTTGGGTGCTCTAGAGACCATTATTTTGATCTGGGAGTTGTCAAAACCGGTTTGTTTCAAGAAATTGAGGACTAAATCGGGATCTCTGGTGGTTTTCCGTGAAGATAACTTGGAATATGTAGAGGTTGCTTCTTCTTTGGAGAACCCTAGAGAATCAACCAGGTAATTTACAAAGAAAAGAGTTGAGGTTGAAGAGTAGAGAAATTGCCACCTGAAACAGTAAAAGGAAAGCAGGTCTCCAACGCCATTGCGGTGAATCCTGTGAGCTACACATTTGCCTCTGCTGAGCATTATCGTTTAACTAATGTCTGTTAACAAATGAGGGATTAGACCAATCTATTTGTACATAATTTGAACAAAAAATTGCACGGCATGTCCCACCGAGACTGGTCTTGGCGGAATGTTTCCCTTTTTTAGGGTCTTAGCAAGATGTCTCTATTTTTTAATTTAATATCATAATTTTTAAATATTTAAAGCTTGAAATTCTTAATTAGTGATGAAACGTAGAAAGATACTGATTCATTATTGTTAAAATTATTTGAATGTTATAATTATGTTTATATTTTTAGTTTATACACCGAGTAATTTACTGTAAAAAGTTTAAAACTTCATTGTTGGATCTTAGAAAATGTTAGAAAAAGACGAAATGGATTGGTATTATCTAACTAAATAGGTGATTTGGGATTATTTTAAATTTGAGATCATTTGGAAGATTTTGGGTGATTTGATCAAAATTAAAGTTGCAAATTGGAAGAGCACTTTGGTACCACCATATTCTGGGGCATTTGCATCTATACCCGTTTTTCGTGCTACATTTTAATTTGTGTCCGCTTTGCAAAAAATTTGCAATGGTACCCACTTTTCGCATAACTTCAGCATACGGGGCTGAAGTAGCAAAGGCAATCACGCAAAACTTCAGCATTCTAGTAGTCGGGCCTGAAGTTCAGCTCTAGAGCTGAAGTTTTTGTCTTTGTAACTGGGGAACTTCAGCTCTAGAGCTAAAGTTTTTGTCTTTGTAACTGGGAAATTTCAGCTATAGAGCTGAAGCTTTGTCTTTGTAACTGGGGAACTTCAGCTCTAGAGCTGAAGTTTTTGTTTGTTTATAATTTCATTTGCCTCACCATCTTGACCAAACTGAATTTAACCTTGCGAACAAGACCTGAATCCTGACTAGTTCCATATTACAAACAGTTCAAACACCAAAAACAAACACTTCTAAAGAAACAAAATTTGCTGCTTAGTGAGATTCTTTTAGTTCATCCTCCTGATGAGCTCATTGATGTAATTCTCACGGTTTCCAGCGTCACCACCTTCAACATAGTGGTTTCTCTTCTTCTTTGAGTCCACCAAGAGGTGCCTTAAGCTGGAATGGCCATAGGAAGTTGTTAGCTTCCTTGAAATGTGGTCCAACAGTAGTAATTAGTCAAACAAATCACCAAGTCAGTAATGTGTGTGTGTGTGTGTATATATATATATATATACATGTCACGTGATAGGAAGTGACGAAGAAAGCAAATTGATTGTTTCAGATGTATAAGTAGGCGTGAAAATTTATAGAACTCACCGGAGAAATAAGAAGAAGCAGATAGGGATGAACCTTACTTTTGAAAAAAGAAAAGATAAAATTTTGAGGAGGACAAGGAGGAGGAGAAAGGGAGCTGAAGTTGTTTAAAAAGTGGGTACAAGTTAAAGTTTTTAAAAAAAATGGGTATAGGTTAAATGGGGGCGACCAAATAGGGTGCCCCGTGCAATTTTTACCCCTATTCTCCATACTATAAGCAAAAGGGGTGTTCACGGTTCGGTTTGGTCGGTTTTTGATTAAAACCAAAACCAAACCAATTTAATTGGTTTTTAAAATTTTAAAACCAAAACCAAACCAAATTAAATACAAACCATCGGTTTGATTGTTGTTGGTTTGGTTCGGTTTGGTTCGGTTTTTCGGTTCTTAGTAAGCTAATGATAAGTCGATAATAGTAAAACAACGCTAGACAACAATCTGAAAATAATTTGCTAAATTTATGCTTTTTTATATATTTCTTTCAGAACTAAAAATTTATTTACCTGTTTATATGAAAAGAATGAACAAAAAATAAACTAAAAGTTTGCTTTCTCAAGCTTTAGCCATTGTTGTCTTGCAATTTGAATTTGCTTTCTTTACTCTTGTGGTGATTTTTTTTTTAAAACTATTCTGTTAGGCAAAAGTATGTGCAGAGAGTTAGAGAATTAGAGTCTCTTAATGAAAAGAAAAGTGGTCGAGTCCTATTGTTTTGGGCTTAGGCAATCTTTTAAGATATAAAAGGATAAACCAAAATTCAAAATAACAATTAAAATGCATAAAATAATTAAAATTATTTACAAAAAGATATTATATTATATATAAATAATTATTAAATTTTGTATATAATTAGTCGGTTTGGTTTGGTTTATTTTTCAGTTTTTTAAAATAGAACTAAAACCAAACCAAATATTATCGGTTTTTAAAATTTAAAATCAAAACCAATCCAAATCAAGAAAAATATCGGTTTACTTAATCGATTTGGTTCGTTTTTCGGTTTGGATCGATTTTCAGTCAAACAGTGAACACTCCTATACGCCAAAATTGCAGGATGAGAAGCCAAGTAAGTAGGTTCGAAACTGAGCTCCTTCCAATGCTTTCTTAATTCTAACCTCTGAGAAAGCAATGCGAGTTTCCTGAATGTCTCGCGTATTTTATTATCCAACCATCCAAAACTCTTGAAAATTCTGATCTTCCTATCCAATGAAGTATACTTTATCTAAATTCATGAGGCATGACACCACCGAAGGAAGTGGTATAGTGGATGAGACTGTTCTTTCCTTAACTAGAGGTCTCGAGTTCGAGCCCTGGGTATGAAAAAATCTTTAGTAGGGAGCGCTTCCTCCCCAATGGGGCCTACGCGGCGCGAATACGAATATAATCTGGCTCCAATGCGGGAACCAGACACCGGGTAAAAACAACAAAAAAAAAAAGAAGAGGCATGAACTCTTCCCTACACCAAATTTTATAAGACTAGGGAGATAAGGTAACTAATAGAACAATCATATATCCTAAAATATAGCTAACAGAACATAGCTATCCTAACTAATAAAGATTGCTATCCTAACTTATAGAGATTGAACTTTATCTCTAACATATAAACTGCACAGTTATATGACCAGCCTTGACCAAAAGGTAAGGCATGTGTCCACTAGGTGTCAGATTTTCCTTTCAACTTGACCATTTTGATTGATGTGTATGTGGACAAGTAATGCGATGTTGAATACCATTTTCTTTCAGATAAGAATTGACCGTACGAAATTCACCACCCCAATCTGATTGAAAATTGATAATTTTGGTTTGAAACTGTTTTTCAACCAATCTATGGAATTCGACAAAAGTAGAGAGACCCTCATTTCTCTATTTAATTGGAAATAGCCAACAATACCGCAAGAAGTCATCCACAAATAGAACAAAATATTTGTCTCCATAAAAAGATAAGTTGGGAGCTGGTCCCCAGACATCTCCATGAATCAATTCTAATGGTTTACTAGCAATAAAACCAGTAACATGTAAAGAAATCTGACTATGTTTGCCTAAACAACAAGCTTCACAAAGACCAGATGATTTTATTGAATGACTGGGCAAACTGAATTTATTAACAATAAAAGAGACTGTTGATTGTTTAGGATGACCGAGCCGAGCATGCCAATCTGGTGCAGCAGTCCGAACTGATTTGAAAGCCTTGCTATTTCTTGCAATGTCATCTGTTACAGCAATAAGAAGCGTGTAAACTCCGTCGTCAGCCGGTCCCTTCAACAACACCTTCTTATTTGTCTGATGCTTCACAGTAAACCCAACAGAGTCAAATAAGCATTGATTGTCTTTAGCAAATTTATTAACAGATAACAATTGTTGTTGTATGACAGGCATATGTAAAATAATTATTAAATGTAATTGATTATTACCGGAAGATAGTGTAGTGTGACCAGTGTTTTTAATGTGTCCGTTACCTATAGTAACTTTGTCAGGCCCTTTGTACCCCCTCAGAGATTTCAAGTGCAGACAAATCAGGTGTCATATGATGGGAAGTCACGGTGTCAGAAAACCAATCATGGGAAGAAGCATTAACATTGGCGGCACTGGCAGCGATTTTATCAGTATTAGTATCATATCGTTTGCGACACCACTTCGCTTGATGATTCTTGAGTCCACAGATCTGACAAGGATTAGGAAACCACTTCTTAATTCCTTTAGAGGAAGCACCATTGTTTCCGTTACCATTATTTTTCTGGGAGCTTTGGTGGAATTGGCAAGCCGATGAAGTGTGTTTTCGAGCAATATTTGCAACAACAGAAATCGGTATGCAATAGGATTTCATGAGCCATAAGTCTACCAGAAAGATCAGAAAATGATACCTGTGATTTTTCTGCAGATAGTGTTGCAATGACAGGATGATAATCAGAAGGAAGTAATCGGAAGATGGTGGCATTGAATTCATCAGGAGATACTTGTGTTCTCGTCAGCGATAGCTTTAGCTTCGCGTAGAAATTGAGCCATTGGTTTGTCACCAAGAGTCATGTTTTGCAAGGTGATGTGCAATTAGACTCTTCTAGCACTGTTGCTTATACCAAATGCATTTGAGAGAGCTTCCCCAGCTTCAAAGGCAGTATCTAAACCAGTCACATAAGGAAAAATTTCCTCGGTTAAAGATGATAAGATCTAACTCAGTAAGAGTTGGTCTTCTTGTCCTTTAGATAATCAGAATTTGGTGTTGTGGCATTAATGATGGTAGAGGGAGGCGCTGGTGTACCATTGATATGATTGAAAAGATTATAGCATTTGATGATAGGAACAAACTGAGTTTTCCAAGTCAGATAGTTTGTTGGTTTGAGTTTTATTGAAAAAGAGAGTCGAGCATGAGGTAAAGTAGCAAAAATACTTGGAGTGGTTAAGGTTATTGCAGTAGAGGTGGTGGAATCTGAAAGTTGAGAAGTTGATGCCATGGTAGGCTCTGGTACCTATCACACCTCCTTTTTCTTACACCCGTAAGGGTATAAGGGAGTTTTTCCAATTAAAGTGACAATCGAAACGGGATTATTTATAATAAATTCAGAGTTGCCACTTGGGATAATTTATGGTGTCCCAAGTCACCTTTTGAAATCCCGAATCGAGGAAGTTGACTCTATTTACGGTCTGCGAACATAGAAATCCGGGTAAGAAATTCTGTTAACTCGGGAGAAGGTGTTAGGCATTCCCGGGTTCCGTGGTTTTAGCATGGTCGCTTTGATCATACTTGGCTTATTAAATTGTTTAACTACTCATTTTAGAACCTATGTGCTTTCACCTCCTTTAATTAAAAAATTATCCTAAAAAAACGAGTCACGCG